AACCAGCTCCTGCTCTACCACCCCAGCATCAATGTCAGTGTCCCCGTCCCCACCTTGTCCCCTAGGCCAGAGGGGACACCTTCTGGGTCTCATCATGCCCACCTATTGTGTCTCCCCGATGCAGGACTACATCCACAGCACTCACGGGAAGGAGATGGACCTTCTCCGGACCACGGTCAAGGTCCCTGGCAAGAGGCCTCCTCGGGCCATCTCGGCTGTTGGTCCCTCGGCCAGTGTCAATGGGCTGGTCAAGGACGTGGGGACGGCGCCTGAGGGGGGCGGTGGGTGCCAGGTGGGGGGGCTGGCTGGGTGTGGGGGACACATGGGGACCCCAGCATCACTTGTCCTTCTCTCCCCCCTCCCCAGCTGGCACCTCCCCGGTGGGGCTGAGCCTGCCCCCCCAGCCAGGCACCAAGGGGCGCACCCTGCAGCGCTGCGCCTCCGCCTCCAGCGCCAAGGGTGAGTGGCACTGTCCCCAGCTGCTGTCACCTCCCCAGGACCCTGCACGGGGTGGCCCTGCTGAGCTCTGTAGCCCCTGCTGAGCCCAGGGGCCTGGTGGCCTTTGGTGGCTCTGGGTGATCCTAGAGGTTGTAAAGGAATTGGTGGCCCCTGTGAGCCCAGAGAGCCTTGCTGGCCCCAGAGGCCACAATGAACCCAGTGGCCCTGGTGGGTGTGGTGACCTTGGTTGTCCCAATGGTCCTGGTGAGCCTGGTGTCCCTGGTGAGCCCAGTGGATCTTGTGATCCTGGTGGCCCAAGTCATTCTGGTGGCCCCAGTGGTCCTAGTGACCCTGCTGGCCTTGATAGCCCTGAGGGCCCTGATGTCCCCAGTGTCCCCCAGCACCTCGGTGTCTCTCTGCAGACCCCTCCCCCGCCTTCGAGACCGTGTCCAGTCCTGGGGGCCGGGACCCCCTCCCCTCCCCCCTGCTGGACCGCAAGAAGCACCGGAGGAAGAAGCTGACGACGCCCTCCAAGACAGAGGGAGCGGCTGGGCAGGCAGAAGGTGAGACCCCCCCGACCTCCCATGGGGACAGTGACCACTGAGCCAGGGGGGCAACACCCCAGAGCTCCAGCGGATGGAGGGCCTGGGCCTGATCCTGTTCCTCCCACCCCCCCCAGCACCTCCCCACGCTCGGCCACTGCCACCATCCCCATTTGTCCCCCCTTTCTGCTGTGCCACCCCCTGCCACCCTCCTTGCACTCCCCCCGTGTCCCCGGGGCTTGGGGGGGTCCCCCCTG